CAAAAGTGCCGGGGTATCCTCTTGCCCTGCAAGATGGAAAGAGCTCCTCTAGATCTTTCAGTGGAGCTAGACACCTTGTCTCATCACTCTTCTCCACTCAGTACTGACATCCCTTTATTCCCGCTGCTTACTCATGTTCCACATGGGGAATATTGCACACAGCTTTGGGGCCCCCAGTGTAAGGTCATTGATCAACTGGAACAAGTCCAGTGGAGGGCCACCAAAATGGCCTTGTGTTGGTCCCATAGCTTCTCCTCATACTCGTGTGAGGAGAAGCCATGGGAATTGGGTGTATTTCAACCTGGGGAGAAGGAATTTTTAGCGAGGACCTGATAGCAAACTTCCAGTACCTATGAGGAGGTTGTCGAGCCACGCTCTTCACAGCATTTCATTATGCAAGGATGAGAGACAAAAAGTATAAATTGAAATGGGAGGTTTTGTCCAAATACAAGATAAAAATATTTTCCCAATTTTTTTGTCATTGATGAAGGTGGGCTGGAGAGAGGAAAAGAGAGAGGGAGTGAAAAAGGGAGTGAGCTGCAACCAAAAAATGGGAACAAGGACTCAGCAGGTAAGTTTCCAGTTGGTGCAAAAGGTGCCCATTGGGTGCCAGGGTTAATGACTGAGGTGGGGGAGACATCTCACTTGCTCCGCAGGAGGCTCAGGTGCAATGCCCAGCTTGTCAGGATCAGGGTCAGCACTGGGTCTCCTGGGAGCTGTAGGGGCCAGCTCTGGGGTAGTCCCCACTGTGAGCACATCCTCACCACACCCAGGCTGTGTCCGTGCTTAGGGGTTGCATCCCTCCATATCCACCTGTAGCCTAAGGGCAGCATGTCTGACTCCAGATCAGGAGGTTTTGTGGTTGAATCACACGAGGGTAAACGTTTCTGCAGGGTGCTGCTGGGGTGCTTCCTCCCCCTGTGGCAGGACTTTACTTTTACCCTCTCTAAGTTTCATCAGGTTCCTATCAGCCCCTTTTGCCTGCCTCACAAGGCCCCTCTTGAAGAGCAGTCCTGTCCTCCAGTGTATCAACCTCTTCTCCCAATTTGATGTCACCCAGAAACTTGCTGAGTGTGCAACCCAGCCTGTCATGCAGGTTGTTCATTAATGAAGACATTTAAGAGTGTCAGTATCAGTATCAACACCTGCAAGCTCCATTACTAACAGGACACTTGCTTATGATCCCAGCACTGGGTCTGGTGGTTCAACCAGGTTTTCACCCACCTTCTTAGCCACTCATTCAGTCCATATCTTTTCAGTCTGGTTACAAGAAGATTCAGAGACCCTATTTAAAAGTCAAGATAAACAAGTGTTTTTTTCTCAGGTTCCAGCAAGGCAAGCAGTTGGGTAGATCAAGAAGGACCTTAGTAAATCTATGCTGGCAGTTTGCAACTACTTTTGTCCTTCACGTGTCCATTTTGCTCAAGTGATTCCTGGCTTGTTCATCCTCTGCCGTGAATAATCCACTGCCATCGGCTCTGTCAGAAAGCAAAGCGACATATAGCTGAGAGCAGACCTCATCAATACAGAGAAGGCATCAAGTACCTCAGCCTGCTCCATGTGTGTTGCTATTTCCCGCACTCAGAAGTGTTCCCATGCTTTCTTTTAATAATCTTTTGCTGACAATGTGGATCTAAAAGCCATTTTGTTGACCTTTCACTTCCCTACCAATCTCAACACCAGCTGAGCTTTGGGTTTCCTGTGTCAGCAGCTAATTCTAGCCATCAGATTGAAGGAATGATTAGCAGCCTGTTTGACACTTGTGTATAACTATAAACATCTGGAGTCTGTGTCCAGTTTTGGGATATCCAGGACAAGACAGGTATTTACAAAGTGCATTAAGTCCTGGAGATGGTCATCCAGATGAGAAAGTGGTGGAGTGCCTGATGAGGACTGTCCTAGAGAGCTAGGTTTCTATAATGCGGAGAAGAAGAGGTCAAGGAAGGATTATAATCTTGTTTTATGCTATGTGTGCCTATAGAGAAAGTGGAGTCAGGCTTTTCTTGTGGACATAGAAGATGGATCTTAACAAAAACAGATTATATGTACAAAAATCTCTATTAGATGATAGGAAAAAAACCTCACACATCAGAAGACACACATTAGAACAGGGTCCCTGAGAGGTTTTGGAGTTCTCATCCTTGGAGACATTCAAAGCTCGACTAACAAAACTACCTAATGTGAAAGACTTTTGTGCTCTGAGCAGGGGACTAGATCCCTTGGTTTCCAGCGATCTCATAAAATCTAATTTTTTCTCTACTTAACTAAATCCTCTTGCACCCTCCCCTGCTCCCCTCACAAAGCCCATCCAGCGATGGGAGGCCCCCAGAGCTCCAGGAGGACCAGGGCCAGTGGCGCAATGGACAACGCGCCTGACTACGGATCAGGAGATTGCAGGTTCGACTCCTGCCTGGCTCGCCATTTTCCTGCCCACAGACTGGCTGTGGTACTGATAGTGACAGGGAGACCTATTTCTCCATGGTGGCCTGCCTTTGCCTGAAGTTTCTCCCTTCTTGCTGGACTTCCTACACAGCAAAATCTTCCCTCGCGTCAGGGAAGGCTCTGACTGCATATACTGGCAAAAGAAATTTCACCGTGAGGATGGTAAATCACAGAGAGAGGGGCCCAGGGAGGCTGCAGGCTCTCCATCTTTGGAGTTATTCAGAGTTCAAGCAGACAAGGCACTGATCTGAATGTCATACCTGAATCACTCTGTTATTCAATGGGAAGTTCCTGCTTCGATGTTCTTTTTCTGCTCCATCCTACACTGGCAGACTCATGGGCTTGTCACCACCTTTGTGGTACCTTCACCCTGCATATGGCTTGGACAAGGAAGGTGGAAGATGCCCATGTATAGGTTAGCCCAGACCAACTGGCCACCAAGCAAGATCTCACTACAGCTCACCTGCTCTGCCCTTTGTCATCAGGCAAGAGAAAGTGGAGGACAAAACAGGTGACCTTGGGCTAAGCTCAACCCTCAGCTGTGCACCATGACTCCAGAGAGTCCTGGGGTTCTCCCAGCCCTGCATTGGCTGGGAATTGTAGCCAGACCTCCCATGGAGCAGGCAAGATGTCACCTCCAACCCACCAGAGCAGCTGAAGGCTGGAGGCCACCATCTGCCTGTGCTGCCTGGCCTCCTTGTGGGGGAACTTAACACAGGCGCCACTTCTTCTGGGTGGTGGGACCAGTGGGACCAATACTGACCTCTCCCCTATAGGTGAGTTGGGCAAGGTTGTCATGGGTGGGGCAGGAGGGTGCTAGGTGAGGTCTTGCGACTTCCCTTTGACCACCAACACAACCAGGTGGTACAGAAAGGACCGTGGTGGCACCGGGTGGGACCAGAGGCTGGGGCCAGTAGCGCAATGGACAACGCACCTGATTATGGATCAGGAGATTGCAGGTTCGACTCCTGCCTGGTTTGCCCTGAAACTGCCTGGCTGTCGTGGAGGTGACGGGGGACAGCTGTCTTCATGAGGTCCTTCCCCTTCCACACTTTTTTCCCATCTCTCTGACATCAGCATCACAGGAACATCATCTTGCGAAACACTTTGTCAAAGCTGTGAACCTGCCATCTGCTTCAAAAGCCACCACCCCTCAAGTCCTTTTTGGACTGGCCTGCTGACCTCCTAGAGTGCTGAGCAGCAGGCTTGTTTCTGTGGTATCCGAGTGTGTGTTTTCCTCATAAGGCCTGTGCGTATCTCCTGTCCGTCTCCCTGAGCGCTACTGAGTGAAAGCTGGCTGAAGCCTCACTGGTAACAACCATGGGTAAGGAGTGGGTGGAAGGTGGGCTGGGACACTGGGCTTGAAGGGTTGTGGTCAGAGGCTAGAAGTGTGAATCACAGAATCACTAAGTTTGGAAGGGACCTTCAAGATCATCAAGTCCAACCATTAACACAATGCCACCATGCCCCCTAAACCATGTCCCAAAACACCACATCCACACATTTTTTGAATACTTCCAGAGATGGTGACTCCACCACCTCCTTGGGCAGCCTGTTCCAATGCTTGACCACTCGGTGAAGAAATTTTTCCTGATATGATGGTTAACTGTCCCTAGTGCTCCTCAGGGGTCAATGCTGCCACTATTGAACATCTTCACTGACATACTTGGTAATGGGATGGGATGAATCCTGGGTGAGTTCATGGGTGGCACTAGTGAGGAGGAGAGCAGTGGACACTGGCAGGGATGGCTGTCATTTAGAATGACCTGGACAGAGTGAAGGAAGTTCAGCAAAGGTAAACACCATGTCCTGCCTCTGGGATGGGGTAACCCCACGCAGCACTACAGCCTGTCAAGAACACAGCTGGGTGGAAAAGGGCGTAGGGGGTCCTGGAGAACAACTTGAGCAAGAGTCAGCAGCAGCACATGGCCTTGCACCCATGAAGGCTAACTGCATGCTGGGCCGTCCTAGCAAGAACACAGCTACCAGCTCAAGAGGAAGGATTCTTGCTCTTCACCCAGCACTTCTGAGACCATTTTTGGGGCACTGTGTCCAAGACTAACCCCCTCTTGTTTGTACAAGATGCTGACAACATGGAGCAAGTCTAGCTTTGCTCTTTTCCGTACCTTTCTACACCTCTTCGAGCTTTTTCCCTGGTTAAAGTGTCTTAAAGCCTGCTGGCAGACATACTTTTCCTCTTCCTGTCTCATATACCTTGTAGTCTCCTGAGAATCCTATTTTGAAAAGAAACTTGCAAATTTATAAAAGTGAAGGGTCTGAAGTGCCTGGGTACTGCATCCCTCCACCCTGACCTTGTGGCACAAGGGCAACGTGTCTGCACCTGGAAGACAAGGTTGGGTGTCTGAATAACGTGGAGGCCAGGCCTGGACAGTGCTGCAGGCTGGTGGCCTCTCTGTGCTTTTCATGGGGTTCATTGACGTTGCATGCAGAAGTTTGCAAGGCATCAACAAACAGCAAGACTGATGTGGGCCTCCAAGGTGGTTGGGGACCAGAGCACATAATGTGACAGGGCAGCCTGAGAGCGCCGGGTCTGTCCAGCCTCCAGAGAAGCCATTCAGGAGGCATCTTCATCCTGCATGGCGTTGGCTGTGGTACCCCCGGCTGTGGTGTGGGCCCCAGATCTGCCCATTTTGGGCTGCCCAACTCTGCTTAAAGGAGAAGCTCTTTCCATCCTGCAGGGCAAGAGGATACCCCGGCACTTTTGCCCTGCAGGAGGCCCGGGAGGATGGATGATGGGCAGAAGGAGGAAAGAGCAGGAGGAGCCGCTGCCAGGCTAAAAGTGTCGAGCCAGGCAGGAGTCGAACCTGCAATCTC